ACTCCTGTTAAAACTGTGAATTGATATTATTAAGTAATAGCTGTCAGGTTTGAACTTGGCAAATACGAATTACATGGATCATCTTTTGGAATTCTGTTTTGTCAGAAGGAGAATAATTCTGATAGCCACAGCTGTGTAAAAGATTCCAGCCATATTCCTTAGGGCTTTTACTGCTCTTCTAGATCATCTTACCATGGTGATGCTAGATGTCCGTCAGCTTCCTACTGCACAAATATCCCCAAAGAACTACTTGCTTTATTTATCTACCAGTGGAAGCTTGGTGATGTCATAAGAGGTTAATACCACATCTGGTCTCCAGCTTTCTGCTGGTCAGCTAATTGAGTTTTACTTGAGACTGCTCACTTTAAAAAGCTTGCACCCTCTAATTACAGTGTATGAAATAATGTACAACTGTACTGGAAGGCAGCATGCAGAAATAATAAACAGCTAAATTTAATTACCTGCTCATTCATGGTATTTACAAGAAGTTTGAAGGTGGAAAAAAAATAGTGAGCGGCTCAAAATCAAGTTAGACAGCTATTTATTATTGGACCATTCTGTTATTAAGCTTGTGTGTCTACTGCCTTTTCTTTCCCTCTTTATCACCAGTCTATGAAGCAGTGATCCTGTTTTAAATTTGGTGATGTTATTTCTATTACTGATGCTTCCAGAATCAAATGCCAAAATAGCCCAAAGTTAATGGTTTCAATATTCATCAAATACTGAATTTTCACCAAAATATGGGCTGCATATTTTCTCCCCTTCTTCCTGTCCAAGATTGTACAGTAAAGAAGCTATTTAAGTTTATAAGAAAGTAGAAGAAGAAGAAGGTAGTGTACTGTAGGACTGATTCAGCAAAGGGTGCAGATTTGCTGGATGGAGCAGCAGGCTGAGGGGGTGGTTGCTTCCTATATGATGGCCCAGCTGTGCCAAGGCTGAAAGAATAGGTTTGTGCAGAAGAAAACAATGAATAAGGCTGATTTTCATGCCAAGATAGAAGTTTTCAGATGGTACTTAATCCTATCGCTGTTATTGGAAGTCAGCCTTTTCCAGCAGACCATTTAGAAATTGGTTTTCTTAAGTGTCTTGGCCTTGCCTGCATTACCAGATTACAATAGCTGGTCTGCTGCTCTGAAGCTCAAATAATGCACATTCTCGCTGCTAGATGTTTTTTAAGCCCTTGCAACTTTTCTGAAGTTTTCTTAAGTTAAAAATAGCCTTAAATTAACACTTGGAACTGAGCAAAAGGTTAAAGGATGACTAATAGTAGCTTGTAAATAATCCTACTCATCGAGTTCTGGTTAACCCATGTTGTCTACAGCCATTAGGTACGGTTAAAGGAGGAGGCATAGACTTGTCACTTTTCAACTTGGACAGAAGTTTCTATCAATAGGTACATGATAGGATATCTGTCTGATGCTATCAGTGTAGACAAACTCATGGACAGATTAAGTACAGACCTTGCCCCTCCACACAGTAATGGAAAGCTGTTTGGGTGGTTTTACCTCTATGATCTACATTCTAAAGGACTGATTAGCTCTAAAGGCATCACGTTCCCTCTTTGCTGTCAAGGTGTTCAAATTCAAACTTCCCTTTCCCGCTTTGCAAAACTTACTTTGCTTTCTTGCCTTTGAATCTGTTTTGCACGCTGCCTTGTTGAAAGCAGCTACAGGTGTATAGGTAACAGGAGAAGCATCCACTTCACCCAGGTTCTGAGAGCTTTCAGGTTTTTTTCTGACCCATGATGTTTTGGAGCAAGCTTGAAATGCTTCCTGCAGGTGTTGGCATTGTCGGATACAAGGTGGTGAGCAGGCTGAGAGAGTTGGGCTTGTTCAGCCGGGAGAAGAGAAAGCTCCAGGGAGATACTGGCACAGGTTACCCAGAGAAGCTATGGCTGCCCCATCCCTGGCAGTGTTCAAGGCCAGGTTGGACACAGGGGCTTGGAGCAACCTGCTCTAGTGGAAGGTGTCCCTGCCTGTGACAGGGGTTGGAACTGTATGAGCTTTAAGGTCCTTTCAAACCCAAACCAGTCTGTGATTCTATGCTTCTATGACATCATATTTTCACAAGGCTGCTGCTATGTGTATTAAGGCATTATTTCTTCAGTTTTCTCAAGAGTGACTATGTTTCTGTATAGGAAGACTGCCATTCTAAAACCAGTAGAACATGGTAAAAAGTAGGATATTAATGAAGAGCTTTGTGCCTACATTCAGCAGAATGGTTCAGGATAAATAAGGAAACTCCTAATGCTTGACATTCTTTGCTACTAGCAAAATGTCACAAAACAGAAATGAAGCTGAAAGTTACAAGTTATTTTCAAATGCATCTTAATGACTGAGAATCGATTTCAGGTTCTGTCTTTGCAAATGTGACACAATTTGTTTTGCACTTACATTGTGCTTTTAAAGTAATCTTAAGATCTAAAAAATCCACATGTTCATCTTGTTTAATAATGCTTTTTGAGCACTCTTTGTTCATATCAAATACATTTAGAAATCATTGCATATCCAAAAAAGTAGAACTCTGACTTTTAACATTTGTTTTTCATGTGGATGAGTAGCTGGGTGTGATTTTTCTGCTGTGTACATTGTTGTCTAGGCATCAAATTGCAAATAGTATGTATTTAAATTCTACTCCTGAAAATATTAATATATTGTCCTTTATTTTGGCAAACCATAAAGATGCAGAAGATTTAATGGACTTGAAAGCATTAAAAGGAAGCTATTGTTCAGCAAACTGTAGCTTTCATTTGTCCTGTAACTGTAATAAATGCAAGATGTTGAAGGGAAAGGAGCCAAATATTAGTGTGGTCCTAAGAGACCAAACAAATAATGGAGCTACTTAAATTTGTCATTCTTCTTTCATGATTACATTCAAATCTAACATGTACACAGATGTTATTTCTGTATAGATAGTTTTAGTGTTTGCTTCTACTTTTGGCTTATTGAGCATTGCTAAATCCTTTCAGTAATGTTTATAAGGGTTTTCTTCTTCTTTAGAAGTTTGTGGGATTTTTTTAAGTTCAGTGCACATTCAGTTCTTGTCAAGTGTAAGTAGTTATTAACGTAATGGAGAGCCATGGTGTTGGTGGGGGGGAGGCAGGTCGTACCTTGCCAGCTCTGTGGGCAAGGGACCTAACGTTCCTATGTTGGACCTATGGAAAGAAAAGATCATGGATTTGGACTGGTGCATAATCCAGCAAGTTGGAAGTTGTTTAGCCTTACCTAATGCTCTCCATCTGAACCTTACAGCCAGCATTGTGGGAGAAAGTCCGTACTCCCATAATCTAATAATAAGCTAAGTATCTCTAAGAGAGGATGTGTAGTTGAAAGAGGAAACTTAAAACACTTGTCATGTTTTGAATATTCCCATTGCTTTTCTAGTATGATAAGAAAAACTGGTATTTAGGTTTCCTCTACAGATAAACACAGGGTGATGTGGCAAACAAAAAACTCATCACGGTGTGCCGCAACACACAGGTAACTGCACTACAGGTTAGGATGTGTCAGTATTTCCATCCTAAATCCAGCTATAAAAGTCTGGTTTAGTCTGACTCTTGCAAGGTGTTGCTCTGCCTGCAAATAACTTCCTTCTTTCTCAACTGAAGTGTATCTGAATTCTTAATTTCTTAAGATTTTTTATAAGCACTTCCAGAGTATTAGTTGCTATAATACCAGTGGGTACGTTGAAATGATTCTCTGGCAGAAGGATATAGCGTGTGTGTGTAAAATACTGATGATTAACGCACAATGAGATATGCTGTATTATCTGTCTAGTTAAATCATGCTTTGTGGTAAAGGGATTGTAATGCTTATCATAACAAGCAAGTTAGTTGCCCAGGGAGATGTAATAGAGAAGTGTACTGAGCAGCTTTTCGACTCAACTTTGCAGTGTATGCTAATCTTGACTTCCAGTATTGTATCTGCTCCTTTGCTGAGCTGATCTTTGGGCGACTTCGGTTTGCGCTGCATTGCAGTGAATGGCATCATGATGTTCAGATGAATGTAGAGTAGGATTAGAGCAAAACCCCATTATCGGGCCAGTCCTCAGGAGGTATGAAGTGATCGGTCTCCTGCCTGGACTGGAACTACTTGCTATCCAGAGGAGTGCATGAATGATTTGTGTCAGAAGCTTTTTGTTGGGGAGCTTCCAAAGAAAGCAGGGGGAATGGTGTGGATTACTGTCTTCTGTGTCATTAAAAATAATCTTGGGAACTGATCCCTTCCTTGCCCCTGTCTGTGAATTCAAGCACCCCACTCAGTGTTTTGGATGTATATTTGCCTTCTGCGATTTGAAATGTGTTAACCACGGCACTCATTTTTCTTCTTTGTGGGGCAGGGGGGACTCAGAAATGCTGTAGTTAAATGAGATGCTGTTTTTCTGACTTTATTTCATTTTGGTTTTGGTTCATAGTGGACGTCACATCAAATCCTGCTTAACCACTGTCTGGTGGGCAGACCAAGCCGATGTTAACAGGGAGAGACTTTATTCACACAGCTTCTTTCCTTCATCCTTGAGCTGTGCTTTGCAAGAAGTAGCTCTTAGCCACCCACTTAGAGCATTGGGAAACAAAAGCTTCAGCTCCCATTTGTGTTCAGTTATATGGCAAGCTTTCACTGAGCTAAAGGAATGTTGTGGAAATGGATCTGATGCCCAATTGCAGCATAAGTCACAAAAACCATCTTACATAGACCCTGTCTGTGCTCTCTGGAGTCTCTGTGAGTCCTTCATTGACCTCTAGAAGGGGTCCAGCCAGTGAGAATACAGTCATCTTCTTAAAAGAAAATATGTGTGTATTCCTGTTGCCTTTATTATGCTTCTGTAATACTTAGTTGTCTTTAATCACACTGCTTATGAAAGCTGCATTAACTATCAATGTATTCATATTGCAGATTTTTATTTTATTGATGTTCCTGTTCAGGACAATATTAGTCCTGCGACCAAGATGTCAGGTGCTTGCTATTAACCTTTAGTTCTTTTTCTCCCCTGCCCCTTTTTAGAGGCCTTTGAGTCTTTGCTTCGCTTTGCTGAAAACCGCACAAGTTCCCTGTTTGAGACAGCTTACAGACCTATGGCAAAAGAAGCAGCAGAGCCTGTTAAAGAACTTTTTACAGACATCTCTCTCTACATTCTGGGTGCGGAGACTACAGTGGAAAGTGCAGTGTTACGGTTCTTTGACAGTCTCTTTCCCCTGGTGTATAGTCGGCTAATAAACCCAGGAATTACAGATTTATCAGAGGACTATACAGAGTGTCTACGGCTTACAAGGCAAGACATAAATCCTTTTGGACACTATTCTAAAAACATGGTTACAGAGCTGTCAAAATCTCTTTGGGCAAGTAGGATGCTCAGCCAGGCCCTCAGTCTGGGCATTGAAGTGATAAATACTACTGAACATGCAGCTCTCACGAAGGAATGTAGCAAAGCTCTAGTGAAGATGCAGTATTGCCCGCATTGCCAGGGCCTGACACTCATCAGGCCCTGTGTTGGATATTGTCTAAATGTAATGAGGGGCTGCTTGGCCAGCGTGTCAGAACTGGATGCACAATGGAGGGAGTATATCTCCACACTGGAATATCTGACTAATGAAATGGCTGCCTCACATGATGTGGAAATTGCACTGACGGGAATCTGGAACTCCATCAATGAAGCTATCCTGCATGCACAGTTGAATGGACCACAGCTCTCTGCTACAGTAAGTGCTCTCTGATTATTCACTACTCCCATTTATCACTTTGATTATTTGATGGATAAACATTTAAACAAGTTGGTGTTGTCCTTGCATCAGTTTTCAGTCTTCAACTAGATCTTTGTTTAATAGTCCATGAAAACCCTGTGCTGGGCACTGGTGAGGCTGCACCTCAAATCCTGTGTTCAGTTCTGGGCCCCTCACTACAAGAGAGACATTGAGGTGCTGGAGTGGGGCCAGAGAAGGGCAATGGAGCTGGTGCAGGGCCTGGAGCACAAGTGTGATGAGGAACGGCTGAGGGACCTGGGGGGTTTAGTCTGGAGAAGAGAAGGCTCAGGGGGAACCTTATCGCTCTCTGCAACTGCCTGACAGGAGGATGGAGCCAGGAGGGGGCTGGACTCTGCTCCCAGGTAACAAGGGATAGGCAAGAGGTAACAGCCTCAAATTGTACCAGGGGAGGTTTAGACTGGATATTAAGAAAAAGGTCTTCCCCATTCCCTGGGAATTGTTAAAAAACCATATAGACAAGGCCCTTGGTGACATGGTTCAGTGGTAAATTTGGCAGTGCTGGGGGAATGGTTGGGCTTGAGGATCTTAAAGGTCTTTTCCAACCTTGTTGATTCTATGAAAACATTGCAGATAATTATGATGGGGTTCAGTAGAGTTTGCTTTGAAATGAAAGGCTTGGGGAGGAAGTTTGTTCCTTGAGAAGCAACCCTGTAAAGCAGATAGCTCTGGCTTGTCTGCAGAATTTTCTAAACAAAAAGTTGGGGTATATTATGCTTGATATCAACAATGTATTTTCATACTCTAAAACTTCTGATCCCATAACTCTAGGAGCAATGTTTCCCTGGTGTGTGTGTTTGTAGTGTGTGGACGTTCCACAGGAATTGGTGTAAGGGTTTGGAAAATTGGGTTTCTAAATAAAGGCAAAGAAATTAAAGTTCGTAATTTTACAGTCCCTTTACTATGGTGTTGACAGAGACATCAGAAAGTCAGTACAGACCTATACTGAGTGCATCTGTCATACAAAAGTTGGGAAAAGGAGCATGGGGAAAAATCAGATGTATTTGACAGCATTTACATGAGTAAAGGATGAAAATACATTTAAAGTGGATCCACTTTTGTAAGTGGTAGCTTAAGGAGGAAAGAACCAGGGGTGGTAGAAGTGTCTCATAAAGAATATAAGTACATGAGTGGCAGGTGTTCTGTCATGTATTGAAGATTAGACCAGAAATTATTGAAATGACTAATGGATGCAGCTGACAACATCTGTCTGAAGTTCAACATGGCTGTCAATGGCAAAGTTGTAGCAGTGTGGCCTTAAGCAGGGTAAAGGCTGCAGGGTGAAGGCCACAGGGTGAAGCGTACGCTAAAAGATGTAGATAGAGCTGCCTGTCCTGAAAGAGGAATTCTTGCAGAGAACAAATGAGAAGGAAATGCTCAAATCTGAACATTTAATTCCTGTATCTGCACTCTGGTCACCATAGTATGTACTTCGAAGAGTCTACAGGAAGAAGTTATGGCAGAAGGTATTCTGAACTAAGGCAGTATTTTACTAGGAGAAAAATGCCTGTATGTTTGTAACCTTCCAAGTTCCCTAATGTCACAGTTCTTTCCAAATTAGAACACCTGACAGAGCCAGAGACATACACAGAGTCAGCTATACAGTCACTATAATATGTAGATTATAGAAAACCCCAGCCACTTCTAGTAATCTGATAACATTTTCCCTTTTTATTTGTAGTTCTTTCCATTCTTGCTGCCTCAGAGTCTCCCTTCCTTTTCATCAATGACACTTGTGTTTGCTAGTTTATCTGACATCCAAGGATAAACATGAAAAACTAAGAGAATCTTTGTCCAGGTTCTTGGGTAGTGCACAGTAGGCATTGCAGAACAGCAGGTCTTCATTGTGCTGATGCCTAGTTGGTAGTCTCATAATGTATCCCATAAAGCAGTGTTAAGCCTAGAACACATCATGAACTATGTTCCTGCATGTGCTTTAATTTTCACTCAAATGTTACTTTTATTGTGAGTCTATAAGGGAAATGAAAATCAAAGTTTGTCCATGTAAGTTTTATCTGGCAACACATGGCTTCGTTACTGATTACATGGAAGTAATTAGGGATATAGTTAAACTTTCTGACTACTAGCAGCAAAACCAGTGTGACAGACATCTCCTGCAATGTATGCAGTATGTTACAAAATGCTACACCTTAATTCTGCATTGCATTTGTTGGCCTCCTAATTAATATGCACTTGCTTAGCTTGCTGACAGGGTAGAATTCACAGTCCAGGGGAATATCAGATAACTATAGATACACTCAGCGAGTGCATTGCTTTTACCTGATTTGGAAGTAGCATCCTCTCTGAAGTGTCTTTCTCAGTCCCCCAACAGTATCTTTAAACATCTTCCTTCTTCCATTCAGAATGAATTCAGAAGGTGCTGTTGTTTGAAATGACATTAATTCTTTTCCCCCAAAAGTTATCTTTGTTTTCTCTCAGTAGTGATATCTCTGTGCACAGAACAAGGTTGTGTGTCACTTTAGGTACTGCTCTGTGGAATAGCAAAGGATGTTTTCTGTTTGAAAAGAAAAACTGTATGCCAGTGTGTGTTATCCTCAGTCTTTTATCTTCTCCAGTTGTCGGCAGGGTAAGATTGCATTTTGAAGATGGAGCATGTTCCACTATTTGAGCAAGCATTAGTCTGATACTGATTTAAAACTTTACTGATTAGTTACAGAGGATAACCATTAGTTAGGAAATTGAGCCTAATTAAGCTGCATTTCCTTCTCTGAAGCAATGGAAAGGAGTTCAATCCCAGCTCCAGGATTTCCGGCTGTGAGAGGCTTCTCAGAACCTAGGATCTGATTCTCAATTACACTTTAGGGCTGCGAATGATGAGATTAGTGCCCAATGTATTTACTGTTTATTTATGGGAGAACTTGGTCAGAAAAAGAAGGTACATTCTCTTTTCCCTTCATAGAAATGTAGCGACTTTGTTCATGCAGCTTTTGCAGAAATGAAACACTTTATCTTGGATACAGTTTCTGTTACAACCCCTGTAATTGGCTTCATTCAATTATAAATAATCTGTGGAAAACTCCTTCAGGAACGCAGAGCACTCCTAGTAATTTTCTTTCTCCCGAGGCAGCCTTCATTAATGCACCTGCCCTTTTAGGATACATTTTACAATTTTTTAATAGACAATATGGCTAAAACTTAAGGTTATTTTTAGTTCACTGCCTGCCTGGATGATTATGATTAATGGAAAGTTAGATTATGTTTTCTTTAAAATAGGGAAGGGGTGAAATAAAGCAATATAGCAGTTAGGGTACTTTGCTGTCAATTATTGTAAGTTGAAAATAAAAATCCTGTTTGTCTGAAGAGTGCATAACTTGAGGAGACTGGCCTCTGCTGACTTCCTCCATTATAGCCAAGAGGATTGCCTGATTTGCTGGGGTAGCATGTGTGAAAGGTCACCTTTAAAGTATTAGCAATCTCTCAGATTCCTCCAGAACGTGCCATGCCATTTGTTCGATGATACTGGCTTGCATCCAGCTTACTTAACCTAATGCAGGCCAGCCCTGCTCTGCAGCATCAGCAGTCATCATCATTACTTACTGGTTTGTCTGCTGGAATCCAATTGTCTTTCAGATTGGTAGGAACCCTGATGGCTGCTTTGTGCCAGCTACAGAGACCAGGTTTCATTCCCCCTTACTTATAGCTGTGGACACCTTTCCTCTTCGTTTTTTCTTTTTGTGTCTTTGTGTTTTAAAGGAGGTCTCTTTTTTATGTATTCAGTCTATGGTATTGCTCTGTTCCAAACTCTCTATTTGTGCATCATTCCTGATGTTTTATTTTTTATTCAAAGTGAAAGTAAAAGACCTTCAACTAAAATGCAAGGAGGAGGATGTGCAGTTTTGAAATGCATATGGCCACTGACACTTCAGTGAAGTGTATCAGCAGGCAGTGTAACACCATATGCATGAGTATTGGAGAGGGACTTTTGACAAGGGCAGGTAGTGACAGGACAAGGGGGAATGGCTTGAAATTGACAGAGAGGAGATTGAGATGAGACATTAGGCAGAAGTTCTTCCCTGTGAGGGTGCTGAGGCGCTAGCACAGGGTGCCCAGAGAAGCTGTGGCTGCCCCATCCCTGGCAGTGTTCAAGGCCAGGTTGGACACAGGGGCTTGGAGCAACCTGCTCTAGTGGAAGGTGTCCCTGCCCATGGCAGGGGTTGGAACTGGGTGAGTTTCAAGGTCCCTTCCAACCCAAAACATTCTATGGTTCTATGTTTCTATGACATCATACTTCCACAAGGCCCAGTTGCTTGTCGTGAGGGCTTGGCTTGCAGCCCATCTCCAGTAGCCCAAGGGTCATGCACGGGCACAGGTGTTGGAAGTAGAATTACATGTAACATAGGGAAGATATCTATTGGATCAGAATTGGTTAGAATCTGCTCAGCCCCACTAACTACAAATCTCCATCTCCACTGATGTGGAACAAGCAAATATATATATATATTACAGACTGCCCAGGGCAGTGGTGGAGTCACCTTCCCTGGAATTGTTCAAAAACCATATAGACAAGGCCTGAGCAACATGGTTTAGCAGTGGACTTGGCAGCGCTGGGGGAGTGGTTGGACTTGATCTTGAAGGTCTTTTCCAACCTGACAGAGGTGATTCTATGTCCAGTGCTGCAGTTCTGGGCTTCAGTAGAGCTTGGTCATCTTGCTTGCAAGAGTAGCACTGCTTTTTCCTGGTCTGGATGTGAAAGGCACTGATGACCTGTGGGATGGGTTTCCTGCTGGATGCATGGGAGCTCAGGAGTCAGTGTCCTGCTCAGGTACAGATTTCGTGTTAGCTTTGCCAGTCATCATCACACAGAGATTCATCTCTTCTCTGTCTCTGTCAGAGGAGTGACCTGAAGTCTAAATGCAAAAGAATGATTCATTTACTAGATTAACGAAGAGTATAAGAAGCCCTTGCCCACACTGGGTATT